CAGTCGTAACTGGTCTCTCTCTTTCTCGTCCCTGATGAGGGCATACGCAATTAGGAAATTCTGGTTGCACGGCGTCATCCCAATCATCTCGATCAACGGCATCTTGTACCTGTGCAAATGTGACCAAGAAGACAAAAAATATAAGCACATAAATATATGCGTCAACACTTTTAAGATTCATACTAATAAAGTATTTATAAAGTAACATACATGTTGGTTTTATACGTGAAATCTATACCGACATACCAGTGATATGTCCGGAATAGATTGATCGACGCAGGATGGGCCATGAATATATGCGTCAACACTTTCGTGTTTGGATCGGATTCTACATAAACTGTATACTCGCTGCTCACGGCCAAATGCATAAGCTGAGAAGGAACGTCTCTACCGTCGGAACTCTCTCTCCGCAGCTTATCTCTAAAGTTATATACCTGTCACCGATTAACGTTAATTATAATGATTATTATAATTTAAAACAAAAATTTTATTATATTAATAAATAAAAAAGTATATTAATGCGATTAATTTGATAAAAAAATTATTAACTATCACAATAATAATACATTAGTAAATATAATAAAATTTATTAATTATTACAATAACTTTTACATATAAAAAATTACTAATTATCATAATTAACTTAAAAAATTTAACTAAAACATATATTACAAGATATAAATATATATACCTGCCGCACATGAACGTTGTCTCCCAGATTCTTTTCCTTCAGCGCGGCCATAATTTTTTTCGGGGCCACCTGAGCGTCCGTCATGTCACGAACAATTCTCTTAGATGAAGCGCTGAGACCGCTCAACTGGCTATGACCCTCAAGATACACAGCAAATGCATGGTTATGGTAGCCTTTCTCTTCCTTGCTACATCTACAGATCCTCCAGTATGGAACGCCGGACACCTTTTTTACTTTGATCTCAAAATTGCAGCCGCACTTATTCGTTTTTGTCCTTCTAGAATTTCCCCCTGTGCCTCTGTACCGTTTGCCTCTATGGCACTTCAAAAGTCTGACCGTTTTCTTTTTGTGGCTCGAAATAATTAATAGGAAACCATTCAGCATTGCCTGGTGTTTTGCAGCTTCAATAGCCTCCTGAGCACTATTATAGAATGTACATGTATCGAAACGCAGACTGTAATCAACACCATCTCCTCCAAAATCTTCCCATGACTCCTGCTATATAGTACAATATTTATATTTTTAGAACATGTTAAATTAAGATAATTAATTCTACGATGTAACATAATAATTTGTAACTCGTAACATGATATTATCTAACGTTCAATTAATATAATTTGTAACTCCTAACACGATCACGGTAATATCTAACGTCCAATTTATATTATAATAAACATGTAACACAATAATTTGTAACTCTTAACACGATACTATCTAACGTTAATTTATAACATAACTAAAACTAATATGTAATATAATAATTTCTAACTCGTAACACGATAATATCTAAACGTCCAATTTACATTATAATCAACATGTAACATAATAATTTGTAACTCCTAACATGATAAATGTCCAATTTATAGCATAATCAAGTCCAAAATGTAACATAATAATTTATAACATAATAATATAGTCCAATTTATAACATAACTATTTCGAATAAATAACATAATAATTAAAAAAAAAAATGCCGGCCGGCCGGCCGAACCGGTTCCGACCGGCCGTCGTTGGCCGGCCGGTTCGGACATGGCCGATCCGACCGGCCGTACTTTCCGGACAGCTTTTAGCTCGTCCGGACCGGCCGGCCGGACGGCTTATAAACCGTCCGGTTCCGGCGGCCGGACGGGCTAAAAGCCGTCCGGAACCGGCGGCCGAACACCTATTTTTTCGTACCTCCGAATTTGACGACATTTCACCGTACACTTTCCTCTGAGATGTTTAGAAAAAATGAGAAGGGCAAAATTGTCCAAGGGGGGCGGTGAATAGTAACGCCCTTGTTGGATGTTAGTTGTTAGGATGATTGGTCACAAACTATTTTCTTAGTTGTTTCATGTATTGATACTTGGTTTTGCTTGGATGTTTGGACAAAGATTATGTTTTTGGTTGGATGTGTGGACAAAGATGATGGTTAACTATTTTCAGAGTTGTTGACAGAAGTGATGGTTTTTGTTGGTTTTAATCCAAATGCACCTGGATAGTTTGGTGCTCTTCATTACTTATTGTTTGGTGTTTTTTGTTTGGTGTCGTTTGGTGCTCTTCATTACTTGTCAATACTATGTGAATGAATCAACACAAAACATAAACACAATACACATTATCATGTCCACTAAACAACAGAAATAAAACCTCATCTCCACTATTGTAATGTAAAACCCACATATGAATAATAAGGTCTTCAATTAACTAATAATAACAACTAAAATACATAAGTTCAGTGAAAGATCACATCTTCTTTCAATCATAAATCCAAGAACACAATATTCATCAGCACACCTTGAATCAAAAGTCATCAACCTTCTCACACACCCAAATACACCTTCAATCAAAAGTCATTAACCTTCTAAACACACCCAAAGTCACATTAACCTGCAACTACTTCAGCACTAACAGCACTAACAGAAGAACAACACAAGCCAACATGAACATTACAAATGAAGTTGGAAACTTCTCCTTCTTAACAAGTGTGTCTATAAACTCCTCCAATTTAGCATGTTTCACCTGCAGCTCCAACATCTCTCTTTCTATGATGTCCAATCTTGAGGTTATCACTTTGACCTCCTCTTTTTTGCATTTCAATTCATCACCCAAACCTTTCCTATCATTCTTGAACTTCAAAAAAGCAGCCTTTGAGATGGTGGAATCTTAGGATCACACCACAAGAAGAACTTACAGTCCTTAAACTACAATACAATCATTAGATTACAAGCATCAAAATTATTTTATGACAAATTAAAAAAAAATTAGGGCAAAATCTGTCCATCATGTTTCGAATTATTTCTAAAAAATTAGAGTAAAATCTGTCCATAAAACTTACCTTTCGACGTGGACAACGGAAGTATCTTCGACCCGGATTTGCATCAGTTTGCGAGATCAGCAAATCAGCCTCATCTGGACAGTAACAACGGACTTGTGTGTGGGTTGCACTTCTATTCGAAGCTCCACTGTTGGTCGAGCTTGTTGCCATGTGTGGAGCGAGGGTCGAAGATAGAGATTGCAGTGATTCTTTGCAGCTGAAGGAACAATTTCTTGTCGAAGATAGGGTCGCACGTCGAAGATTAGGGATGAATTTAGGGATTTGTGATTTGATTTTGGGGATGTTTCGGTTTTATAACAGTTGGATCAAAGAAACGACGTCGTTTTGCTGACATGTATATGTTGCTTGAGCCACGTCGTCAACATCAGAGCCATGTTGGATTAAATGGCCGGACAGGTTGGCATTGGTCGGCCGGTAATGTGGTCAATGCTTGGTCTTGCAAAATACCAAAAGGTTGGGTACCGAATTGCCAAAGTCGCAAAGTGGTGACAAAAAACGCAAAAGTCGAAAAGGTCGTGATGTGAGGTGCAATTTTGCCTTTTATTTTATGATCTGCATATAGTATATATTAACATCTCATCCAGAGTTTGAATATGCTTTAAAACTTTGTACCTTTTTCGATCAATAGTATGTAATTGCTCCCAGAGCAAAAAAGTTTTTGAACCAGCAAGCCAAGGAAAACCATACATGCTCAGATAACCAATATATGCACATAATGACATGTCAACAAAATAGTATCTCAAACCATGAAAAAAAAGTCTGGGAACTAAAGGAGAAAACCAACATGGATATAACATCTCAAATTAGCAATGATAATCACCAAATGATCCAATGTTAGCAAATAGTTTGAATCCAAGTGCAGTTGTTATAGAAGAAAAATGCAAAGGTAGACAGTTAAAACCATGAGTTAGAATAAGACTGATAAAGAAGAAAAAACAAAGAGGCTGCATCCTGAGATACATACATCTACCAAGCATAGCAGAGGAAATATGGCACTTTTAAGTTATAAAGATTATTTTTCACGGTGTACAATAACGAGAAACAATAAATATAAAAAAGCCTCAGTCTGGAAAAATTAGCCAGCAACTTCAAAAATTAAGATAGACATGATTCCCTTAGATGACGTGCATCTAGAAATTAGCACTTGAAGCTCGGTCTCTACATCCTCTGAAGTTCCTGAAAAGGGATACAAACAATATTACATGGGTTTTCCCTTTGTACTTGATTTCGCCAAAAAAGCTTAAGAAATTTTCAAACTAGGAGATCTTTTTTCACAATTTCCAATACCAATATATCTGCAAAATGTAAGAACGTAAACCTATCTTTCATAACCAGCCGGCACAAAAACTAGAAAAGCCCCAGGACCAAATCAAGAATGTCAAGAAAACTTGTAAGTTTACTTTTGTGACCATTAAACAATAGGTGTATGCACATCAACCCAATGAGAAGGTACAGGACCTCATTGGTGTTCACGGGAACTGGAATAGAGACTTAATAAACTCAGCTTTTCTTCCTATTGATGCAGAGAAAATTCTATCAATCCCATTGAACTATCCCGCCATGGCAGATAAACTTATATGGCATTTTGAAAAGAAGGGCACTTATTCAGTTCGGAGTGGTTATCGTTTTCTTCAAAATTTAATGGTGGACGACCCGACCTCGAGTTCTAGCGGTTTTGCGTCATGGTGATGTTTGTTATGGTGTTTACATCTTCCGCAAAAAATAAAATTATTTCTATGGCGTTTATCACACCGAGCACTCCCATCTGGGGAAAACCTTCGTCGAAGACATATTGATTCAAATGCTAATTGTCCTAGATGCGGTTGTTGGGAATCAAAATATCATGTTTTCTTTGAGTGTTGGTGGGTGAAGAAACTGTGGAAACGATGTGGTTGGTGGGAAGCGATATTAAAAGGGCGGGGGCAACATTTATGCTTGAGGCTTGTGAGCATCTCAGAGGGATGTAAGGAATCGGACTTTAGGTCTTTTGTTATGTTTCTATGGGTTGTGTGGCAGGATAGAAATATTCTTTTGAATGGTGTCCGCCTAAGTGATATTGATGCGATAATTGATAAAGGTGTCAAGTGGGTGGAGGATTACGACAAGGCTCAAGCTTGTACACTTTTCGATGTGGCTGGAGGTTTCATTGAGGATTGTTGGGCTTCGAAAGGTAGGCAAGAAACTGTGAATGGTTGTTATCTTTATTGTGACGCAGCTGTACGAGACTCGGAAATTGGGTTAGGAGGTTGGATAGAAAATACAGAAGAACGGGTAGTCGCGGTTTTTGCATCTCATATGCCAGGTTTGTTCTCTCCAACTTTGGATGAGGCTCTTTCTATTCAATTCGGTTTACGATTCACGGTCATGTTGGGAATGAAGATCCAACAAGTTTCCACAGATTGCCTCGAAGTCGTGCAAGGATTGATAGCAAACGAGTCATATCACCCTATTGAAGGCATTTTCTCGAATATACGAACACTCCTGGATTTAGTAGAATGTGGTCTTTGTCAGCATACGAATCGCCTTCATAACGAGATTGCTCATGCCATTGCAAAGTGGGCGGTAGAATAAAAAACAACGACAATGTGGTCGGATTGTGTTCCAATATATTTTTCTCCTTTATTCTGTAAGAACTTGAAGGTCCTAAGAATCTCAATTGAATACAACCTCTTAACGAGACTATTAGCCTCTTGTATTTTACTAGTGTATATCCCGTGCGATGCACAGAAGAGTTCATATTTTAAACCCTTTTTAGGCTTTATTTTAAATATAATTATTTATATCACATCTCGTCTATTATGAAAATAAAATAAATAAAAACAATGAAAAATATATATTATTAAACACTTCTCTTTATACAATACTTTTTAAAAAAATATTATTAAACCTTGCAGTTTTGATTTTATTTTTTTTTTTAAAGTCAATTATCTCCATAAGAATAATCATACCATTTTAATTTCAAAAAAATGGCAAGTTTGTTAGAGAGATAAATCTGGTTAGATAAATGATTAATTAGTTAAAATATTATATTAATTGTATCTTTAAAAAATCGGTTAGATAATGTAGATAAAAAATATAATATTAATTAGTTTGTTAGGAATGTGATTATATGAAAATCAAAATAAAATAAAATTTTGTTTAAGATCTTTTTCTTTAAATGTTTGAATTTAAAATTATAATACCAAATGTTGAGTATATCACATAAGGAAAAAATAAATAATAAACATTTATTAATATATTAAAATATGTAATTTTGAATTTCATATAAAGTAAAAGTATAATAATTCAAATTTATTTTTAAAATAAAAGCTATGATAAACATTTATTTGTTATGTATAATATTTTTATTTTTTATTATTCTAATAATTTATACATTAAAGTGAACTTAGGTACGGTATGATTTAATTCATTTGAGGTTGTATCTACTTAAGTAATAATATGTGGCCAATTATTATTTTATCGGTTAATGTTTGTGTTGATGAAGTATTATTGGATAAAAAAAGATCATTCATTTAAATCATTTGAGGTTGTATCTACCGCATTCCGTCCGCACAAACGTGTTATAGAAGGATTAACTCAAAAACCTAATTTGACAAAATAAATTACAAATTTCCTTTTTTAACGGATAGATTATCTCCAACAAAAATTCATTTCTTTTTTTTTACGCACTAACCTACCAACCCTAATATTTATATCCACTCAAACACACACAAACACACACAATACACACGCACACACTCAGCGCGCACACACACAAACACACACACACACACACACGCACAGAAGCCCAGCCCACCAGAGACTGTCGCCACGCCTCCGCCGACTTCAGCCGTATCTCCGTCGGCCTTCACCGACCTCCGCCATACCTCCGTCGGCATCCGCCATATCTCCGGCGTGCCTCCGCCGTTTCTCCATTGGACCACCAGACGCAACCAACGGTCTCCATCACACCACCGCCATACCACCAGGCGCACCGTCCACCTATTGGCGTCGACGACCACTGGCACATCTTCTCGATGGTCAAATCCGGCGCTGCCAACATGAAATTTGCCGCCATTGACCTGCCAAATCGATGAACCAGACGGCGGTTCTCTCCTCCGACGTCAATAGCCTGAGATTCGGCGGACAAATCGTGGCCTCCAACACATTCATGAGCTCGCAGACATCAGAGCTCCTCCGCTCCATTTTCCTCCCCGCGCCTCCGGCGGCGGCGGCGGTACTTTAGTGGCGAGAAGATTTTTCATGAATTTGGGGATTTTGGGTCTGTTAAGGCCTTAATTCAAACCAGAAATTAGGTTTATAATTTGGGCCAACTTTTGAGAATTTGATAGGTCTCAAGGACATAAGTGCAATTTTAGAAGTTTTTGATATATTACAATTTAATTTATGTACTAAATATGTAATTTATTAAATATTTAATAATTGTACATTATTGTTCAAACCGTTGCACATTAATGTTCAACTCATCGCACATTATTGTTCAATTCATTGTATTCATTACACGACAATGATAAATAAAAGGTACAATGTGTGTGTTTATAAACACGCTCGAATTTAAAAAATTACAAAATTTATCATCGAAATAATTAATATATAAAAAATAATGACAATAATCGAATCAACATAATAAACTTTGTGCCGAATTCATGTTAGTTGGGTCTCGTTCGATTTTGTGCAATCCGGTAGGCATTTATCTGCAATTCATATAACTATAATGTGCACTCTTAATGCATACAAAAATATATATAAAAAATAGTATTATTTTTTTTATAAAAAATAAAATTGATAATATTTTTCATATAATTTGTCATGTTCAGTTATTTTATTTATATAAATGAAATAAACTGGACAGTTAACCAACTAATATTATTCGATTGATTATATTACTAAATTTTTTAATATGTGCATTGTGTTATTTTATACGGTGCAACATATTGTGTTATAAAGTGCAAAATATTACTGTATAAAGTGCAACATATTGATATTTGGTACGTTAGCATGCTTGTGTTTGTTAGTAAGTTATGTGATAAAGTGCAACATATTATTCTATAAAGTATAAAATGTTATTTTATAAAGTGCGACATTACTATATATATATATAGTGCACTAGCTAATTTATATATTCCTAGATAAATTATTTGTATAATTGTACATCGAATTAATCTAAATAATTAAAATAGTTATTTATTATTTTTATTATATGATTTATTTATTCTTACAACTTATTGTATATTATTTTAATATCTTACATCATTTTTATTTAATATTTTTTATTATTACAAGATATTTTATATTATTTTAATATATTATCTTATTTTTAATTAATATTTTATTTATTATTTAAATACATATGTATAACACAATATGTAACAAAATAACTTTTTATTAACTTTCAACATTTACAGATTTGACCCATGGGTTAAATTGAAATTTAACTAGAATTATTAAAATTGCACACAAGTCCCTATACATCATCTAATTCTCCAAAAAATATGCCAACCCCCATTTCAATTTCAGCATTTGAAATCGCCGGATCTACTCCTCCTACACCGGCGACGGCGAGTTTCGAGCTCCAGGAGGCGGCGGAGCGTTCGGTGATGGCGTCGCTCGATGATTTCCACCTACACCAGCCATGGCTCCTCACAACGACTGGCGATAGAGGTCGCCGGAGATGAGTAGGGGCAGCGACAGAGGTTTGTCTTGAGAGGAATCGAAGGTTGGACGTCGTTGGATGTCGCTGGAGATGAACTGAGACCGCCCGCGAAAGTGGATGGGATTACAGTAGATGCGGCGGCGGCGGCGGTAAGTCGCAGTGCAGCGATGGCGCGGCGGAGGCGGTGGTGAATATAGTGGCCAACCTCGTGTGCTGTGTGTGACCGCCGCCGGCGGTCTGTGTGTGTCGCGTCGGGATGTGTGTTGTGTGTGTAACTGTGTGTGTGTTGTGTGTGTCGCGTGTGTGTTTAATTAATGGTCAATGTGTGTGTTAGTGTGTGAGTCTGTGTGTGTCGCGTCGGGATGTGTGTTGTGTGTGTAACTGTGTGTGTGTTGTGTGTGTCGCGTGTGTGTTTAATTAATGGTCAATGTGTGTGTTAGTGTGTGAGAGAGAGGAGTGGGTGAGATGTGTGTTGTATGGGCCACGTGTTATTATATTAGTGGATGTAGGTGAGTGTTAGTTGGAATGTGTTCCATAATTGATAATTAAAGTGTCCAAAATACCTTTAATCTATATATATATATAATTACTAGCTAATAGTATTTAATAAAACCTATTTAATTTTACCTATGTGGCAATTTAACAATTTTCCCTCCAAAAACCGTTACATTTTGATGTATTTAATCTTTCATTTAATCATTAAATAATTAATACTCATCACTTCAAAATTACAAAAATCATTTTAAACTTTTGATTAATGACAGTTGACCATATAATGTGTTGACCGTATAATGTGATTAGATGTTATTATTGTTGTTACATTTAATTTTTTTTTTTTAAATAAAAAATATATCTATATATATATAATTACTAGCTCAAAACATTTAATAAAACCTATTTAATTTTACCTATGTGGCAATTTAACAATTTTCCCTCCAAAAACCGTTACATTTTGATGTATTTAATCTTTCATTTAATCATTAAATAATTAATACTCATCACTTTAAAATTACAAAAATTATTTTAAACTTTTGATTAATGACAGTTGACCATATAATGTGTTGACCGTATAATGTGATTAGATGTTATTATTGTTGTTACATTTAATTTTTTTTTTTAAAATAAAAAATATATTTGAAATTCTTAAATAAATAATAAATAATTCACAAATAAAAGACGTACCAAAATATACATTACATCCAATCAGATAAACGCATTTTGAAAAAAAAAATATTCCAACTCTTTTAATTATAAATTTGGTCTGCAAAATAGTGAAAGAAAAATAATTAATCATTATATGCATACAGACTCACAAAAATTTATTTATATCTGTGCAAATGCACAGGTCGAATACTAGTGAATAAATAAATGCTGGATTTTTTATATCCGTTAGATCGTTTGATTCGATGATTGTGATGTATTCCTATTTCTCGCATTAAGAGTCATTCTCACCGGAGCGTGACCCATAATCCATATATATATAAGCTTGGTTTTTTTTTTTAAATAGTAGTTGTTTTCCTCAAATAAAAAAATATTTACTATTTTTACAAAATTAAAAATCAAATAAGTAATTAGTCATAACTTGCGGGTCAATATTCACTTAGACATAAACGGAATAATCATTTACTTATACTATAATAAATTAGTCAACTACTTAAAATTTTTTTTATTTTGATAGTTTATAAACTGATTGTTTATA